CCGAGTTCAGTGGATGAAGTTCCGGTGGTGCGTGAGTTTCCAGATGTTTTTCCCGAAGAATTACCGGTGTGCCTCCCGTGAGGCAAGTGGAGTTCAGTATCGATTTGGTTCCGGGAGCCGCGCCTATCGCTAAGGTGCCTTATCGTCTTGCACCTCCAGAGATGCAAGAGTTATCCTCGCAGCTTCAGGAGCTGCTGGGGAAGGGGTTTATTCGGCCGAGTAGCTCGCCGTGGGGAGCACCCATTCTGTTTGTGAAGAAGAAGGACGGCTCGCATCGAATGTGTATTGATTACCGAGAATTGAATAAGCTGACGGTCAAGAACCGTTACCCGTTGCCGAGGATCGACGATTTATTCGATCAGTTACAGGGAGCATCTTGGTTCTCCAAGATCGATTTGAGGTCGGGCTATCATCAGGTGAGAGTGCGGGACGAGGACGTCCAGAAGACAGCATTCAGGACGCGTTATGGGCATTATGAGTTTGTGGTGATGCCTTTTGGGCTCACCAATGCCCCGGCTGTGTTCATGGACCTCATGAACAGGGTATGCAGGCCGATGTTGGATCGGTTTGGTGATTGTATTTATCGATGATATTCTGTATATTCGAAATCTAGAGAGCAGCATGAGGAGCATTTGAGGGAAGTTCTTGGAGTTTTGAGATCGGAGAAACTTTATGCAAAGTTTTCCAAGTGCGATTTCTGGTTGCGGGAGGTCCAGTTTTGGGGCACCTCGTTAATCAGAAAGGGATATTGGTCGATCCGGCCAAGGTTGACGCGGTGATGAGATGGGAGGTGCCAAAGTCACCCTCTGAGATCAGGAGCTTCCTTGGGTTGGCAGGGTACTATCGGAGGTTTATCAAGGATTTCTCAAGATCGCAGTGCCACTCACCAGATTGACCCGGAAGGGTGTTACATTTTTATGGGGTCCCGAGCAGCAGACCTCCTTTGAGACGCTTCGTCAAAGGTTGTGCGAAGCTCTGGTGTTAGCTCTTTCGGAAGGGATGGAAGATTTTGTGGTATTCTGTGATGCATCGATTTTAGGGCTGGGAGCGGTGCTGATGCAGAAGGGGCATGTGATAGCATATGCATCGAGGCAGTTGAAGCCTCATGAGATGAGATATCCCACACATGATTTAGAGTTGGGGGCAGTGGTGTTCGCTCTCAAGATTTGGCGACACTACTTGTATGGGGTTCGTTGTACGATATACACGGACCATAAGAGCTTGAAGTACTTGATGGATCAGCCTAACCTAAATATGCGGCAGAGGAGGTGGTTAGATGTGGTCAAGGATTATGATTGTGAGATCTTGTACCACCCGGGCAAGGCTAATGTGGTAGCCGACGCATTGAGTCGTAGGGCGAAGTACTCCACTGCGAAATGTATGTTTGAGATTGACCGTGATAGCTCCAGTTATGGACGCCATTCGGGGGCACAGGCCGAGGCTGTGCATCCGAGATGCAGAAGAGAGAACGGGTCGTTGTTTGGTTTCTGAATTTGTGTCGGATAGTCGAGGGCTTATGACTTTTCAGGGCCGGATTTGGGTACCGTTTGTGGGCGGTACGTCGACTACATTGATGGAGGAAGCTCATAGATCGAAATTTTCGATCCATCCCGGGCTACAAAAATGTATTTGGATTTGAGGAAAGAGTATTGGTGGCCTTGTATGAAGAGGACGTCGCATGGTTTGTCGAGAGGTGTTTGACCTGTCGAAGGGTGAAGGCGAGCACCAGAGACCGCATGGCAAGTTGCAGCCATTGGAGGTTCCCGAGTGGAAGTGGGAACAGATCACTATGGATTTCATCACCAAATTGCCGAGGACTGCCAGAGGAGTTGATGCAATTTGGGTGATTGTGGATAGGTTGACGAAGAGCGCTCACTTTCTTGCCATCAGTGAGAGTTCTTCGGCGGAGAAGTTGGCAGAGGTTTATGTGAGAGAAGTGGTATCTCGGCATGGGGTGCCGATCTCGATTGTTTCGGACCGTGATGTGCGCTTCACTTCCCGATTCTGGAAGAAATTTCATGAGGAGTTGGGTACTAAGCTGCATTTTAGTACCGCATATCACCCCCAGACAGACGGCCAGAGTGAGCGGACGATTCAGACACTTGAGGACATGCTTCGAGCATGTGTATTGGATTTTGGGGGTAGCTGGGATACGTATTTACCCTTGGCAGAGTTTTCCTACAATAACAGCCATCATTCGAGCATCGGTATGCCGCCCTTTGAGCTGTTGTATGGTAGGAGGTGTCGGACTCCCATTTGTTGGGGTGAGGTTGGGCAGAGAGTGATGGGCAGTACAGAGATCATGATTCAGACGACAGAGCAGATACAGCGGGTCAGACAGAGGTTATTGACCGCCCAGAGCCGACAAAAGAGTTATGCGGACAGGCGCCGGTCCGAGCTTGAATTTCAGGTCGGCGACTTCGTTCTCCTGAAGGTTTCTCCTTGGAAAGGAGTGATTCGGTTCAGGAAGAGGGGCAAGTTGGGGCCCCGGTTTATAGGTCCATTTCGTGTGATTGCGAGGGTAGGCCGGGTAGCCTATCGGTTGGAGTTGCCAGCAGAGTTGGGACAATTCACGACACTTTTCATGTGTCGCAGTTGAGGAAGTGTATAGCTGATGAATCGGCAGTGGTTCCGTTAGAGGATATTCAGGTGGATGCAAGCCTGAATTATGCCGAGAGACCAGTGGCCATCAGGGATCGGAAGATCAAGGTTTTGAGAAACAAGGAGGTACCTCTGGTGTTGGTTCAGTGGCAACACCGGAGGGGATCAGAGATGACCTGGGAGCCAGAGCGTATGATGCAGGAGCATCATTTGGAGCTGTTTTTAGAGCGAGACTTCGAGGGCGAAGTCTAGTTCTAGTGGGGGAGAGTTGTAACAGCCGGATTTCCAGGTATCCTTTATGTTTATGATTTTGGTGTTCTGAGAGGGGACTCGGCGAGTTGGAGCTCAGACTCGCCGAGTAGGGACGCGGATCTGGACGCGGGATTGTGCCTGGACTCGACGAGTCCAGGATATGGACTCGGCGAGTCAGCGCTGTGTAATGAAACCCTAATTTCTCGGGTTTGAGACTTATTTAAAGGGCCTTATGGCCGTCATTTGTGCTCACCAGCCCCTTGAGTGAAACCCTAATCGAGTGTGAGCATTTGGAGCTAAGTAGGAGACCATTATTGACCTTGGAGGTGCCATTGTTGCAAGGAAGGAGAAGAGCTAGCCAAGGGAAAGCAAGAGGAGCCACTTCTGTGGGTTTGGAGTCCAGAGCATCATGTTTGTGGTAATAAATCCGAGTTACCTTCTTGTTTGTTGTTGCTTATCTAGATTTAGGGTTTGTTGAACCCTTTTATGGCAAGATTTAGTGTCCTCTTGGTCCCTTATGAGGTTGGAACCATAGATCTGGACCCTTAGAGGTCCAAAGTGTCCCTTTACCCAAGCTTTTTGAGAATCAATGGAGGCTTTGGATTGGAATCCTCATGCCTTAGGTCAAAAACTCCATTTAGGAGCTATAGGGTGTGTTATGAGCACCAAGATAAGAGCTTTACGTGATGAATCAGTCGAGGGAGGCCAGATCTATACTTTTTGGAAGCAGATCTGACCTTAGAAGCGAGTTGGAGTGGTTGCATGGCATGGACTCGCCGAGTCTGTTCATCCGACTCGGCGAGTAGCTTGAAGATTGCCTTGGGACTGCTCAGCGAGTGGTCCAATCGAGTCATGGGTAGACTCAGTGAGTCAGGGTGAGTTGGAGAGGGATGACGAGTGGACTGAGTCAAACTTGGACTCGCCGAGTTGTCCTTGAGACTCGGCGAGTTGAGTCGGGGTGGCCCCGCGATTCATTCAGGTGAAACTCATTGAGTAAAGGGGGGAATACTCGACGTGTAGTAAGGGGATTTCAAAGGGTTGGTGAAAACGTCTAGACTCACCGAGTCGGGATGGTACTCGCCGAGTCCGGTCAGAGTTGACCGTTGACCAGAGTTGACCTGTGATTGACTTCTTATGGATAGTCAACCTTAGAGATATAAAGTGTTAATTAGAAACATATAATGTTATAGGAGGATTAGAGCTCGGAGGATCGAGCACTAGGGATTTCCAGGATTCGTGAGATACCGAGATACGCGAGGTGAGTCTACTCACTATACTATATTACCTTGAGTAGGTAACCAGAGTTATGTGATAGAGTATTTGTATGCTATGTATGTTATGTGTTGTACTGCATTATTTCTATGTGATTTATGTAGTGCATGTTTATCAGAGCTAGAACCTGCGGGTTCACAGAGTTTGGGTGCACGGACCCACAGAGTTATAGCCTCGAGTGGCTAATATATGTTATATGTGGTATTTTGGGGAACTCACTAAGCCTTGTGCTTACAGTGTTTGATGTTATTGTTTCAGGTACTAGTGACGACCGCGGGAAGGCGCCGGCTTGATCCGTACACACACTCGGAGTTTTTACATTGTGATCTTGGGATTTTGTATTAACCATTAGTGGATAATTAATATGGATGTTTGATGAATATTAATCGAATTATGTTTTATAAGAAAATTTTAAAAAAAAATTGTTTGAAATTTACGGTGTTACATAACTAAAGTTATGTGATACAGTGCTTGTATGCTATGTATGTGTTATGTGTTGCGCTGCATTATTCTATGTGATTTATGATGTGCATGTTTACAGAGTTAGAACCTGAGGGTTCACAGAGTTTAGGTGCACGGACCCACAGAGTTATAGCCTCGAGTGGCTAATATGTGTTATATGTGGTATTTTGGGGAATTCACTAAGCTTTGTGCTTACAGTGTTTGGTGTTATTTGTTTCAGGTACTAGTGACGACCGTGGGAAGGCGCCAGCTTGATCAGTACACACACACACACACGAGATTTTATGTTATGAGATCTTGGGATTTTTGTATGATATGAATTGTATTTCAAACATGTGTGTTTTTACGAATACTAAATGAATTATGTTTTTATAAAATGCGAAAAATTGTTTTGAAATTCACGGTGTTACAAAATGAAGGTATACTAACTAACCTAGAATTTGTATTATTTTTTTTGACATGTTGAGATTAGATTAGAACAATGTCATTTGTATGTCTACCAATTCCGTTCAATTCAGTCCAGCAAACATATATTATCATCTTCCTGTTGCTAAGCAAACATACAAATTAAGCACATTGGTATCAATTTGTTATTATTTTAGTTTTGATTACTTTTTATTATTAATTAATTATCAGGCTTTAGATAAAGGAGATCAACGGGTGGAGTTTTACAAATTTCTCCCTGTAAATACAGACTCTAATGGGAGTGAAGTAATCGACCATGCAAAAAATTCCAATTTCTGTGAAGGTGAGATTGCATTTGATCCCCCATTTTTTTTTTTGGCTTTATAGGGGCACATTGTAAGTTTTTTGGTCTAATGGTCACTAAACTAACTATTACAGGTTGGTAGGGACTAAAAGAGCAGGTCGTATCCTAGTTTAGGGACCCAAAAAGCCCGACAGAAACTTTAGGGATTGAATCAACCAACCCTAGAAATTTGTAGGGCATTTTTGTCATTTTTCCTAATAAATATTATAACAAATTGCAATTAACATGTTTATTCAATCCTTATTTCAAAATTTTATTTTAAAAAATACTTATTTACATTTTAATATTTTATTTTCTTTAATCAACCTGTGTAATACACGTGTTTTACACCTAGTGTAATATAGACAGAAAAAAATAGTGTAAGAAATATGGATATATAGTATGGTTTTTATAGATAAAATTTATGTTTAATTTTTTTTAATTAGCCGTTGAACGGTCGGTCAAAACATTCACATTGGCCGTTTCAATTCGTGGTGGGAAGCACATCGGACCATGAACGACCGATGTGATGTGCACGTTCCACCATCATGGCCAAGTCAACTACGAACCGACTCTTGGATTGTCTAAGGGGGTGTTTGGCTTAAAGGGCAAAAGTCATTTTAAGAAAAATTGCAAAAAATCAGAAAAAAAATCCTTTTAGGAAAAGTTGCAAAAAAATCATTTTCCTTATATCCAAAAGTAGTTTTTACAAGATCTGTTATTTTTAACAAATATCTTTTAACTTTTTATCTTTTCCTAAAAGCTAAAAGATATTTTAAAAGTTAAAACAACCACCCCTAAACAAACAAGAGAAAATTCGGCAAATGACCAAAATCTAGGGTGAGTTTGAAGAAAATGACCACAAAAATGAAGATTTCAGAAATGGTCACAAGTTCCGCAGAGGGGGTTCTGCGGAACCATAAACACCTCTGCGAAATGTGAACACCTCTACGGATCCTCTACGGTATTCTGAATAATAAACATACATTAAGTAGGTTACAAAACATATTTTAGAAAACATAAACATACAACCTTCATAATTAACATACCTTGCAATAAACTTCATTAAAGTCTTTGCGGATCTTCTACAGCTCTGCAAAATCTTTTTTTTTTTTTTTTTTTGCGTTCATTTTTGGTTATTAATATTAATTTTTTTAATACACTAATACCTTATGTGATGTATGTTTTCAATATATTTTTACTGTTTTGTATTTTATGTTCTATGGAATAAAGTAGAAGTTAACTCAATTGGTTTTGTAAATAACCTAATACAAACCAAATACATATAAATAACGTAATACAAATCGGTGCATATAAATAACCTAATTAAAATTATACAAATGTTCCATGTTTTTTTATAGGTTACAAAACATTCTTTAGAAAACATAACCATACAAACTTCATAATAAACATACTATGAAATAAACTTCATTCATCCAAATCGAACCACGAAAACTTTGATTTGTTTTCGTATTCCGTCCATAGATTTTTTGTTGCTTGTGTCCTTAGGTTTACTGTCGCTTGCGTCCATTGGTTATCTGCATGTTGCTACCATTGGTACTCGGTGCAACCCTGCCATTGGTTCTGTGGCTCTTCCTGCGGTCGGTATTCGGTCCCTTGCGTCCATTGGTTATGTAGTTCCTGCTGCCATTGATGTTCGGTCTGTTGTGTCTATTGGTTGTTTGGCTGCTGCTGCCATTGATGTTCAGTCTGTTGTGTCCATTGGTTATCCGGCTGCTGCTGCTATTGATGTTCAGTCTGTTGTGTCCATTGGTTGTTTGGCTGAGCTGCTACCATTGTTGTTCGGTATGTTGCGTCCATTGGTTCTCTGGCTCATGTTGCCATTGGTTTTCGGTCGCTTGCGTTGGTTCCTCTTCTTTCGATTTTGTCCCACTCCCTGACGCCCCAATACGTTTTTTTACTTTTATTTTGGTTATTTGGAACGATTCCCTTACACGTCTTTGCATTATGAGTTGTGTTATGACATCTACTACACCTTCTTATTTATGGTTTCTCACCTTGAGAGGGAATACGATTGGTGTTTTTTGGTCTACCAGCTTGACGTATTTCCATCACAGGAGGGTTAACAACCATAAGGTCATTCGGGACTTCCCAATCACTAAGTTCAGAAAGAGGGTATACGGCCTGCTCATACGTTCTTCGATATGTTTCAATTTTATAAGCATCTATAGCCATATGCCCACAGTGATCAATTTTCAAGTGTGTTAAAACCATTATCACATGACCACATGGCAAACCGGGTAGTTGTCAATATCTTCAAGAACAAGTCTTTTCCCTCAAATTCACTATGCCACCACTTTTGAAGTCATGCGCTTGATATGTTGTATTGTCCACACCGAATACTGACCATCATTGAATACCCTCTTTATTTTTTTAACCATATCTTCTGCCCACTGTACTTTTTTATGTTAAAACAAACATATATTATTATATATGACATTTAAACCATAGTTTTTCACATTATTTCTTACGTAAACCTCATCTCTATTAACTAACTGCCAAGAGCCTCCCGTACACAAAATAATAAAACGCATTTTAGAAATCACTCTCCACAAACACAATGAAAAAACCAATTCTACTTGTAATTGAAACTCAGAAACTCACAAAAATCCACTAAAATACGTCTATAACTTCTATAACTGATCCGCAGATGTGTACACAGATCCGCAGATGTGTACACTGATCCGCAGAGGTGTACACTGATCCGCAGATGTGTACACTGTTCCGCTGATAACAGTTATGTGGATTCTCAAACAATTCTATGGACTGATATTAAACATAACTTCATTAATTTTAACCTTTTTTTGTCAAAATTTTTACATAAAACATAAGGTATTAGTGTATTAAAAAAAAAACTAATATTAATAAACGAAAACAAAAAATAGAAAAAAACGAAAAAATAAAAATTAAAAAACTCAAGATCCGCAGAGGTGTTTTGGTTCCTCAGAGTCAAACGTATTACATAAAACATTTTATTATTTTTAACCTTTTTTTGTTGAATTTTTTACATAATAATCACATAAGGTATTAATGTATTTAAAAAAAATTATATTAATAAACGAAAATGAACAAAAAAACGAAAAAAATATTAAAAAAATCAAAAAACAAAGATTCTGCAGAGTCTTCAATGAAGTTTATTTCAAAATATGTTTATTATGAAGATTGTATGTTTATGTTTTCTAAAATATGTTTTGTAACCTACTTAAAATATGTTTATTATTCAGAATACCGGTGTGTGTAATTTTATAAAAAACATAGAATATTTCTATAATTTTTATTAAACACACAACTTTTATAAACGGGTAATTAAATAAGAAAAACGAAAAACGAAAACAATTTTTTTATATAATAATCATATAATACCTTATGTGATTAAAAAAAATATTAATAAACGAAAACAAAAAAAAAAACGATAAAAAATGAAAAAAAAAAACCAAGATCTGCAGAGGTTTCCACGTTCCGCAAAGGTGTTTATGGTTCTGCAGAATATATGGTCATTTTTTGAAATCTTCATTTTTTATGGCTATTTTCTTCAAACTTACCGTACATTTTAGTCAATTACCGAATTTTCTCTTAAAAAAAAGACATTTTATAAAGCGTAAATTACACCAATCGTCCCTCGTGTATTTACCAGAAAGTGTGTTTAGTCCCTATTTTCAAAAATTAACTCGGACTGCCCTTTGTTTCTTTAACACTTGCACGCTTCGTCCCTGATATGCAGTTTTATTGCAAATTTAGTCAATGTCAAATCTAAAATGACCATAATGCCCTTTTTTATTTAATTTCCAATTATTTTTGATTTTTTTATTGATATTAATTATATATTAATATTTAGAAAAAGGTATATCCACTTATTTATTTCTAAAACCTCACCCTCACAAAAAATCACAAACACCACCATTTTCTTTCCGGGCGGACATCGTCAGACCACCGACCACCACTATCGCCGGAAAACCGTCCGCCACCGTCATCGGAGCACCACTCACCACCATTAGTATTGTTTACACAACCATGACATCTCTCTCTCCTCTTTGTTTTCCCATCAGATATCCCTTATTCTCCACTCACAATCTTGTAATCTTCTCCACCATTCAACCATCCTCTTCATCGTGACCCACTTTCCGCCAAGCACAACTCTTGTCTCATCGACGACCTTCAACAACCAAGAGTATAAGTCAGGGTTTCGAATCGCCACCTAGGGTTTCGAGATCGAAGATCTCCTTCTTCACCCGAGTGCCATCACCTGTACTGCATCTCTCCCCACCTATTTTTCCGATCGGCGATCTCCTTCTTCACCTGTGTGTCTAGGGTTTTAGATTTATATATGGAGAAATGTGTGGTTTCAGATTGAGAACTTTGGGAATTTCATGACGGATTTCATTTTGGGGGTTTCAGATTGAGCATCAACACTACTAATAATCTCTTCTTCTAGATTGTGTCGTAACCACGGTTACAGTTTGACTGGTGGATTCAGGAGGTTGTTAGATGGTGGGAAGGAGGTTGTACATGATGTGTGAGACCGGTTTTGAGGAGAATAGGTGGTGAGACGATTTTGGAACCAAAATGAAGTGGCTGTGGAAAATACGTCGGTGATTCATCTAATGATTTTGATCGGAGATATGGAGGTTTCTATTAAGAGGAAAGGACGGTGGGAAAGGGAAGAGGGAGGGTGGGTACATGATATACTTTTTTCTTTTTTTCTTTTTTTAAATGAAAAATGATAAAGCATTAAAAGAAGATAAAAAAGGAATTTTTTTAAGGGTAAAATAGTCTTTTTATGTCCAGAGGGATGAAATATGCAAGTTTTAAACAAACAAGGGACAGTCCGAGTTAATTTTTAAAAATAAGAACTAAACACGCTTTCTAGCATGTGCACGAGAGTCTGGCATGTGCGAGAGACGATTGCTATAATTTACCCCTTTTATAAAAAACAGAAGAAAACAAACACTTACGTGCGACGCCCAAAGCCTAATTGTGTGGAGCACGCGAGCATTGTATATAAATTACGAGAACAACAAAAACCCTCTCTAAAACCCTGTGGCTCTCGAATGACCTAATTATTTAGAACAATAACAAAATCCAGCAATTCCTTGATCATGAATCCTCATCATAATTCCAACCAAAATCCAGCAACTCCTTCCGCAGCTCAACAGGTACTCTGTTGCCCTTTCTACTTCTCTTCTTTTCTGATCATATTCTGAACTAATTTCTTACTCCATCGGCTCTCAAAACATAGCTGCACTTCGATTTTTGAGTTACTTCTGAAACGAGAGACTGATACGAGTAGAAGTAGGAGGTTTTAGTCAAATTTGTTCTGGTTTAGAATATCCCGAATTTTGGAATGTGCTTTAACAAATTTCTTTTTTGAATGTTGGAGTAAGATTATCACTTTCGGGTGAGCTAAGTAAATGTATTATATGATGAACAGGTTAACTCTGTCACTAATCAACAAACCTGCAATGGAAATGTTGGAGGATTATTGCCAAATAACAGACCAATCGCACCTCCATCTTGTTTCATGAATTTCCCTAATCAGCCCTTTCCCTTACAAAATACTATGGCTCAATTCCCTACTGGTTTTCCTGGATTCAATCCACAGCAGAATTTTAATCCCTTTCCTGTAAACCAGTTTAATCCTTGTCAACAACAAGCCCAGTTCTTTCCTAACAATTCCATGAATCGTCCTGTATACAACCCAAATGTTGCTTTACCTAACGAGCAAGTCATTATGCAGAATACGATCCAAAATATCTATCAGCTTCTTCAATTACAATCACAATCACAGAACCCCAATTATCCCCAATGTCCTCCTGGTAATTTCCCCATGTTCCAGAACCAGATTCCAAATCTTATGAGTCATCAAAACCCTGGATTTCTTCCAAATCAGCAGTTTAGCATGCCTAATTTCAATGGCTCCTTGCAACATGCTAATCAAGGGCAACAATTACAAGGGAACCCGTTTCTACCTCATGCTCCTAATTCAGTTCAACCACAGCAATCACCAAATCTCCTTTTACAGGTATCAATTTTGTTGTTATGTTCTTCATCTTTGACACTAAAAGTGTAGATAGTCTTTTTAGTTCTTCAAAATTCCATCCATGTATTCTGTCATTTCTGTCATTAGCTCTTAACACTTGTAGCTACCTTCCATGATATAAAAACATGTTAAATAAAATATCAAAACTACAAAAAAACCACAATGATGTCTAATTTAAAATTCCCATGTTCCAGAACCAGATTCCTCAAGGTGTGGTTCCTCAAAATCACAACTTTCTTCCAAATCAGATGAATCCAAGTGGGCCCATGCAACATGCTAATCAAGGACAAAAAGGTCAACAAGGGACCTCAATTTTACCCCAGAAACCTTCTCCTACAGTCACAAATTTTCAGGTATCAATTTTTCTTGACTGTAACTTGTGTTTGGTGTATAAAACTCTACACAAATTATTGATGCTGAAAGTTGATTGCATGTTGTGGCTTATAATTTGATTCACATGTTGATCACAAAAAATAATTGTTTCTACTTGTTGAAGTTATATATCTTGCCATATATTCTTTTTGGTGGAAGAGCAATATAGTGGCTTTAAAGAATGGTATTAACAGGAGAAACATGGAAACAACATTAATGGTGGATGGACTTCTCCACACAAGAACTTCACAGGAGATAAAAAGAATGACACCTCACAATCACATAAAGGGTATGTTACTTTAATACATTATAAGATTCATAAATCTCTTTGTTATTACTTGAATTTATAAGTTCATTCGTATAGAAATTGAATGTTTGCAGATTCAAGTCTCAGTTTCATCATGGAAAACATGCTTATAATGGCAATATGAATCAAGGTGAACACATCATCATTTAATTTCTTTGTTACAT